TTGAATACCATTGGATATTATTACGGCTATTTACTATTGTGTGTGTGTGTGTGTGAGAGAGAGAGAGAGAGAGAGAGAGAGAGAGAAAATAGAGAGATAAAGCGGAATATTTAGCATGTGTCTTTATTATGGTGGATCCCATGCATTGAATGTAGAGAAAAACATGATTTTTGACAAAATATGTGCCCATTCAACCAAATAATACTCTTAAAATGGATTATTCTCAATGTCATTGTTTAAATCTCATTAAAGAAATTTGAAAATAAATTCCAATTTACTTGTTTAGCAAATATTATTTCAGCGACAATGTCGTCTTGAGATGCCACAACATGAGATAAATAGGTTGTGTTATCGAACAAGAAAATTAGCGCATAAAATCCCCACATTAAACATGTTTTCAGTAAATGTTCATTCCGAATTTTGTGCACAGTTCAATGCATTCATGCATTTAAATATGTCAGACATTGAAACCATTTTAATATTTCTCATACAAACCGATTTACCAGCTATTTTAACTCTGTTTTGGTGTTTTTGGTTGTAATTTCCATAAAATACAGCTCATGAAAATGTTCCGATACGGTTTATGTGGCGAGTATATACTTGCACTATGACACGTATTTTGGGGTGCTATGTTTAAATTGTATTGCAAACAACAACACGATTTATTCAAAGAGCAAAACCAAATTTTCTGGGTTTGGTTCTGGGTTTTGATCTCTGGAATATGCGCTCCATAGAAATCTATAGTTATCTTGTATTCCAAACTGAAACATGATTTTTTTTTCTTCAGCAAATAAAGTTTTGACATGGAAACATGCAAACTCTTGCGGATCTGATGGAAAATGATGTGTTGTTACAGTCATTATCTCAATGTAATTGCTGGAACGCATAAAATGAGTTTTCTATTTACAAATGTGACGAATAATTTATTGATTTAATATACATGCATTAATGATTTTTGCATCGTTATACGCGCTGTTGATTTCTTTTTTGTATGTCGATAAAATGCCATGTCGCAGCGATGAATGCCACAATATATGAACTTTTTATCCGTCGATCCAAAAATTATTTTTGCCATTACAATATTAAATCAGTTCAGTGAAAACGAATCATTTGATATTATGGAATTGTGTGACAGAGATACGGAATATTGAAGCAGCTGGCAAAAAAAAGCAAAATCTGTTTCCATCTGTTTAATATATCTTAAAAGATTTGAAATTGACAGAAAAATAAAACATGTTGAATTCACACGTATTTTCGGAAAATTGGACGTGGGAACAAAAAAGAGTGTTTTTTTTTCAATCAATCGATCTCTTTTTTATCATGATTAATGAAGACAGATTGAAATGTCATTGAGAAAAAAAGAGGCTCGGTTTTCCGCTTTCAATTTCCGAACGCACAGTTGAAAATCTACGCTAAACGAAAATAAATATGTTACGCAAACAACAACTGAGTGCAAATGATAATCGTAATTATTGCTATGCGTCACACTTGCAAAGTGTATTTTTAAACAGTTTCCTTATTTTTTTTTTGTTATATTCATTTGGCGTTGACGTACGAATTTAATTCATTATCTTTGAATACAGTCATCTTTTGTAATTTACCTAATTGCTATGACGGTGTGACAACACTAAAAGAAAATAAACTAAAAAAAAGACAGCAACAGTTCGTGGCTGCGACTCAATTCCGATTATAATTTGTACACCGGCCGAGAACTTTGAATTAATGTATTTGCATATGGAAATTCCCAGAAGAATTTATGTGAAATTGAACGATAAAGAACGACGAGTGGAAAAAAAGTATAGAGATAGAATCGGTATCATTCTCTCTTTTTTCTAATTCGTTCGGAGTATACCGATTAAAATCATGTCGAGTCATCATATATCATTTATTTTATGGGTATTATTGAAACTCCAAAACATTCAATGTTGTTTGACAACGACGACGACAAAAAAAAAACATATTGTATACACAATCAATCTCTCAATATATTAAAGCAATAATATCGAAAAAAAAAATTCGGGGAGAGGGCAAATCGACCCAA